TTGAAGGAAAACAGAGAAGTGGGGGGTGGGCGCAAAGTGAGGTAAATGAAGGTTTGGCTTAAGACGTGGGGTACGAGAGGCGGCCTGTGTGCTGCTGAGCTGAGCTGAGCCAGTGAGCAGACGGCATCCGTGAGAGGCGAGAGGCAGGAGCAAGACTTCAGGCGGCCGAGGCGGGNAACGGGACAGACACGCAGGGGCCAGGACAGAGCTCCCCGTGACCAGCCTTGGCCTTCGGCACAGAGTATTCAAAGCGCAGCCAAGCGAACAGAAAAGGCGGGTGCCGCAGAGGGCCTGAGGGGTGGCAGGGGGGTGCTGAGCTCCTTGGGCAGAGTGGGAAAATAAACATACCAGGGCGGAGAGAGGGTTTCTGGGCGGCGCCGAGTGCCCACTTGAGACCTGTGCTCGCGAATCTACAGTCAGGCCGGTCGGTGGAATTTCAAAGGGAGACGAGCGGGCAGGTGTCCTGGTAGCATCCCGCTGTTCCTGCGCCGGAGACGGGTGAGCCAGCGCCGGGGTCGGGAGGCCGGGGAGCAGAGAAAGGCCGGGAAGCTACGGGCGCGTTCATAAGGACGGCTGCGCGGATGGCGGTGGGAAAAGACGACAGTGAAAATCCTGGGCAGTGGAAACCGTGCCGGGACACCGGAGCGAGGCCTCAGTAAAATCGAGGACCAGCTGGGGGGCGAGCGCTAGAGCAGACGGAGGTGGGAGGCAGCCGCAGGCCGCGAGCCGCTCGCGGCGGAGACTCGGGGTGGCGGCCCTGTTAGAGACAAGGGCAGGGCTCTGGCCACGGAAGGGACACGGCGACGGCCGCTGAAGGAGAGGCGGCCTTGGAGCTGGGTACTGCGCGGGTCATTCCTATGCGTGGGGAAGTCCCCGAAAATAGTGCCAAAAATAGGGTGGAGGGGAAGTCGGGGGTCCCAGTGAGTGTGAGCGGGGAGAGGGTGCCACAGGCTGGCAGCCAAGCAGCGTGAGGGGGGCAAAGTCTGGGCGCAAAGGAACGGGGCATTTTAAAGGAGAAGACAGGAGCGATTCTTATTAAGAAGTAGCCCCAAGGAGCAAGGATGACAACCCGGTCCTCGGGCTCTGAGACCTGCGGCGTGGGAGGGGGTCCCGGGGAATGGCCAGGTTACTCTGCATGGCAGAAAGCTAAGGGGCCATTCAGAGAAAAGATTAGCAGCGTGGGGAGTTTGCTGATGACGGGCCACAAAGTCCACTGAGCGGATGTGGCTGTTTGGAGAGGGACAGGAGTGTGGGTGAAACGGAAGGGCGTCTCAACAGTTTGTGGGTGAGGGGGACCACAGGTGCCCGGGGAGGCGTAGGTTTCTGGTGGCGACCGATGAAACCAGGATGGGCGGCCTGGGGACGAGCGTCACGGAGGAGGAAGGTGGGCACTACACGCCAACGGGAGCGCACGCGGCTCCCGCACACCCGCTCCCACCACTAATCCCGCGAGGAGTGGAGGCTGCGGGGAGACGGGGGCCTTGCACAGGAACCGCTGGTTTAGGCGGCGGCAGCTTGACACCCTGGGAACCTCTTTTCTGCTGAGTACAGTGGTGGCCGGCTGGGGAAAAGGTAAAGGACGGGTTGCTTTTCTCAAGACGTCGAGGCGGCCTGTGGAGCGAGGCCCCGGCAGGCACGCTGTCCCTTCTCTCTGTGACTGTCACTCGGGTGGCGGGACTGAGCACAGGAATGAAGGACGGCTGCTCTCCGGTGGCTCGCAGGAGGCGGGCAGGTACAGGGGTTCGGAGAAAGGGGGAGAGGGGCCCTAGCCCGGCATCCATAGAACCGGCCAGAAAAGGAGCTGAGCTGCTGGGAGCTGGTACAGAGGGAAAGAGAGACCTTTCCGACTAAGCTCATTCAGCACAACGGGCACTCAGAGCCAGCGGGAAAGCGAGGGAACCTGGGCCAAGTCTATGTGTCCTTCCCCGACCAGCGCACAGTTGGAATCGGCTACTTTGCAATAAGCCGCGGCAGGGCAACGTTTCGTTCCTTTTACTCTCCTATCAAGTGATGCTTCTCACTCACGTTGCTTCGCTCTCCCGCATGCATTGGGGATCGGCTTGTCGATTTACACAAACACTGTGTAATTCTTCTTGGAATTGTATTGAATTGAGGGATAAACTTAGAGAGAATGGACATCTTGACAATATTATAAGCTCTTGCTCATGAACATAAACATCTTAATTTAGTCGTTTTTATGGCCTTCGTTAAACTTTTACAGTTTCTGTACAACAGGCCTCGCAACTTTTTGTTTCTCTCTAGGTACCTTTCGGGGTTTGTTACCCTCTGAATAAAATTTTTTTAAATTAGAATCTTTAGTGTGTCTTTGGCGGGGTGGTTTTCATAGATTGTTAGTATACCCTTCAATCCTGTGGCACTCCCATATTTGTTCTGATCGCTTTTCCGTTGATTCTTTTGGATTTGTACGTGGATACACATATTACCTACGAGTAATAAAATTCTGTTTCTTACTTTTTAATTAATTAATTGATATTTATTTATTTATTCCTCTATATTCATTGGTTTTGGGGGACCAGGAAGTCATCAATGACCTGGGAGAAACAACTAGGATATTACAATTAGTAGCTGATGTATGTAAGGGTCCTGTGAAGCATTACAGTAGTAATGGAAAAACGTATATAACAGATGAAATAACGCTGCGAAACCTTAGCGCCAGCGTACCTGTTTCTACACGGCAGGAACAGCCAGGCACGAAGAGATGGATTAGATTCACAGCGAGTAATTTCTGGCAGGGAGTCACGCATCAGTGGGGGGCAGACGGTAAAGGAAATTAGGGAAGGCACTCAAGTCGCTGTTAACATGGCAGAGTCACAGAGGAAAGCAGGAGGTCACACTTGCACCTGGACAAGGTGCGGCGACGAAAGCAGATCCTCAGGTATTCCTAGGAAATGTTTTCCCGCCTATGTGTAACCTTCAGCAAACACGAACCGCCACCTCCCGGCTCCCGGCGGCCATTCACTCACCGTTGTGCCTCGAGTTCAAAAGGAAGCCAAGCAGCGCGACGTCATTGGCACAGGGGCACTTGGTTACTTTCAGGTCTACCACATACGGAAACACCTCCCGGAGGGCCTTTTTTGTCATTACAGCCCCAAGTTTCCACTGAATAATAGGTTCTGTGAAAATCAAGTGTAGGGGTTTACATTGTGGCAGCACCCCTGAAAAGGGAGCCTTACTGCTTTCATTGGGTCATTACCTCACCTCCATTTATTAAAAATAGGTCACTCCTGATTTTCCAGAGCAGAAAGAAAGAAATCTAATTGCCCTCGATGGGGCCTGGCGAGGTCGCCCTGCAGGAGCGCGTGTGGGATGGAATACGCTGCTTTGGCGATCTTCGGAAAATATAGCTGGTCACAAGATCTATCCCTAGAAACGGAATTTCTGGATCTTAGGACATGCACCTCTGTCAGCGAGAGCACAGCTTCTGCTTCAAGAGCCCACGCGTTTACCTTCTGTTCCCCTCCCGCAGCCCCATCTGAACAGCTGTAGATACATAAAAATGAGAATAAATCCAGAACGGCAGTGGAGAACCGGGAAAGTTATCGTTAGTGGCCAAGACGCTGAGGGGGATTCCTGGGAGATACAAAGGAGCTAGGGTAGAGCCAACAGGAAAAGCCAGCCGGAGGTGGGGCATCTTCAACCCAGCAGTCTACTCTTGCAAAAGATCTGCAAATTTGACTTTTATCAAAGTCAAATTTTAATGTATAAGAACATGGGAGGGTTTCTTTTCTCCTGGAAAAATGAGAAAAGAGCATAAAAAAAAGCAAGCCGGGCAAATTTGACAGACTACTGCTGTCTGAATTTCAAAACTAGCCAAAGAACTTTAAAGAGCACAGATATCTGATCATCAATTCTTGAGCTGTTTACATTTCTACAGTGTAAATCTCCTTCATCTCCCCAAACTTTGAATAAAATCTGCTACAAAAGCAAAGCCTGTGTGTGATATATTTTTCACTGTGTGCAAAGCCAGGAAAGGAGCTAGATTTCCATCTGGGTTAACATAGTTTAGGGACGGCCAAGAAGGGAAAGAGACACGATTTATAACCAAACTAATCCACTCCAAAAGTCAAAGAAATTTGGGGCAAGGCAGCTGACTTTCCAGGGCGTTGCTCCAGTAAGAAATCTAGGATTCAACCTCCATACCTCTGTTTTCCTCACCCCCAATCTACCAGGAAGTCAAAGCAGCCCTAATTCCAAAATGTATCCTGAGGACTCTTCTCATAACCTCCACTGGGGATCCCACAGGCCAAGGACTTTCAGACCATCTTTTGAGTGGATTACAGCAACAGCCGCCAACCAATTTCCTTTATTCTATTCTTGCCATCATTTCCCCAAGAGTTCAGTTCTCCGCACAGCAGCCAAAGTGGTCTTTTTATAAAGCGTAAATCAGAATTTATCACTCTCCTGCTTAAAACACTCCAACAGCTTTTCACTATAACTAGAATAAAATCCGCACTTTTCACCATGATCCCTGCCAGCCTCTCCAAATTCATTATACCGGACCTGTCATTTACTGTGCTTCCACGACACTGGTCACCTCTTAGTTTCTCTAACAGATGAATCTCATTTCTGCATCTGGAACCTTTAAAAGAACTAATTTGTGAAGCCCTGTACATTCTGAATAGGTGTACATTAAAATTTTAATGCAGTATGTAATATTCTGGGTACATCTCAATATGTAGATGAGTCAGACTTCAGATTATTTTCTAAATTGAAATAATCATATTGTTATTTTAGTATTTAAAATTGGCATAGGACATCAAAATGTCAGCAACTAAAAACCTGCAGTAACTATTGAATAACTATTTTTAAAAATTGGACGTTATGAAGACATAGGAGAGCACAGCATTTTGTCATTTTTGTTTCAGATTTGTTAATTTTGGTTAAAGAAATAAAATGAGCCAGGCTGGCGTGGCTCAGTGGCTGAGCATCGACCTAGGATCCAGGAGATGGAGGTTCGATTCCCGGTCAGGGCACATGCCTGGATTTTTGGGCTCAATCCCCAGTGGGGGGCGTGCAGGAGGCAGCCAGTCAATGACTCTCTCATCATTGATGTTTCTCTCTCTCTCCCTCTCCCTTTCCCTCTCCCTCTCCCTTCCTTTCTCTGAAATCAATAAAGATATATTTTTTTAAAAATCAACATGACACATACATGATTGAAGACATCTTTGCTCCCTCCACAGTCCCATTCCCAAATTCTGCCCCCCATGCAACCACTATGATGAAATTGCTGTGTGTATTTCCAGTCCATGCTTTTCTGTTTTTGCTACAACATATATGTACCCATGAGCACCATACACATTGCTTTCCGCATTTTCTGAATTTTGGATAAATGCTTCCCTACTCTACTCTGAAACTTGCCTTCTCGCTCAGTGGTTTTATGTTCTGTTCTCAATCATATACAGGGTCTGTTTGCCTCATTTTAAAAGAACACACCACATGTATTTGTCTTTCCCCTATTGCTGTACATTTATGTTGTTTTCCATTTTTATTATAAATAATGCTGCATTAAATAGATTCGTATATGTCTCTTGGTTTTATGTTTAACTACAGGTGCCTGACCCCACTTACAGAGATCAGATTTTAATTGGTATATGGGGGCGCCGCTACTTTTCTTAAAGCCGCCCGCCCAGGTGATGCTTTTCATAAAATGTAATATTATTTTTACTCGGCAGTCTGCGTAGGGCCATATTAAAGTGAGAGTGAAAGAGTAAAGGTGAAAGGAAGGTGAGGAAAGCGAGGGTAAACACAAGATCCAGGACTAAGGATTTTTAAAAAATTATACCGTGGTGCTATAGGTGACCCAAACATTGGTCTATGAATCAGACAACTGGAAAAAAGAAACCTAGTCAGTTATATCACTCATGTTCATAACCTTAACATAAGCCAACCAATTTTTTATGAAAATATAGAAATGTTCTTACTAAGACCGAACAAGAAATATTATTGATGGTCCTCATAAAGAAGACTGTGATGCAATGAACAGTACCTCCTATAACATCTTTTTTTTTATTGTTGACACTATTACAGATGTCCTCCAGTTCCCCCACTTTGCCCCCTTCACCCAAACACCACCCCTTCCCCCTCCAGGGCCTTCATCCCATTTTTTTGTCAGTGTCCAAGATGCAAAAACTAACTTTAGAAAATCATTGTTTATTATGGCCTGCAATGTGGCTATAGAGAAAATATATTTGCATATTTCTATAGCACTCTTTGCAGGCCTCTATTAACCACTGCCCAAGTGTATTTAATTCCTTGCCTGCCTCATTAGGATGGTGAGCCCCTCAAGTGTCGTGATCATCTCTTAGTTACTTTTCTCTAGTGCTGAGCCCAGAGGTAGACATTCAGCAGGTTACAAGGTTTGTTGACAGAATATTACAGATTCCCTTTTACTTTTATTTGGCGTTTACCTCGGACTCTATCCAACAGCGTTCCTTCGGTAGCATAAATATTTAATCCATGTTGCAAAGTAATTCTTACTAACCATTCTTCTACAGATGCAACATCTGTTTGAAAACGAAAGGCAAATAATGAACTATTCTTTAGTATGTTGTGCTGGTAAAAATTAAGACTATCTGAACCTTACCAACAATGATTACCTTTCACTTCCCATTTTGATTGCATTTTTATATATTTTCCTATGTTCTTCCTACAAATATTTTGATTATACAATAAGGAAAAAGAATTGTGAAGTGATCAACCACCACAGCAATGAATTCAGATACTATTTTAGATCATAATTTTTCTATGAGAGCAGTTGTGGCTTGGTAAAAAGCAAATGATGCACTTCAGGTGAAGTGGTATAATGTTATTTGAAAGTAGACTGTGATTAATTAAAATATATACTGTAAACCCTAGGGCTGATAATAATAACATTTTGAAGCATAAATAATATGCCTATTGGAGATAAAATGGAATAAAAAATAATGTGGGTGAAGACATAAAAGGAAGAGAAAAGTAAAACAGAAGAGATGGAACAAATAGAAAACAATCTGATGGTAGATTTTAGTGCAACCATACCAACAATTACATTAAATGTAAATGGTCTAAAAATACCAATTAAGAGTCATATTTCCAGATTAGATGTAAAAATCAAGAGTAAACTATATGCTAACTCTAAGAAACCAATTTTAAATATAAAAGCATAGATGAGTTAAAAGTATGGGTAGGATCTGGGGAAGTCATGGATGGTAAACTCAGCCTGGGAGTTGCTACAGTGGTTGCACCCACAGGCCAAGACTGAGGCCAAGGCTGAAACCGGGGTGTACCCATGAAGAACATGCCTGACCCAAAGAGCTCGGCTGCACAAACTCTCATATCTACCCAGGCCTCTAGGTGGATCTGTGCACCACCCCAGGGAGGATATGGCTCTTCCAGTGACTGCTGAAGCACCTGGTACCCAAGTAGATCAAGTGCTATTTGTGCTCTTGCTGTCACTGCTCTCTATCAAGCAATTCCTGGACTTCGGGAAAGATAATGGTGTGAGAAACATCATATATGTTCCTACAAAAGAAGCTTCCTGCACAACTGCCTAACACAATGAGAGAAGTCAATCTTCTGATAGAGAACTCAGCTGGCCTTCAATGGAACTGGATCAAAGTTGACATATGCATAACTTCCGTGAACTTTTAAAATATAAAAATAAGAGCCCTGAGGATTCACAGGTCTTAGATAACTTTTTACAAGTCTTGATTAAAGTCAGAAATAGAAATAATGATGTGGTTCCTATAATGGTACATGGAATAATTGAATATAAGGAAAAGTATGGGTTTGATATTTTCACTGGGAGTAACATCCAATATTTTCTGGATTGGTTTTATACCAACAGCATCTCTTTCCACATGATTATTAACCAGCATACATTTCTGTTTGGTGGTGATACTAATCTTGTTCATCCTAAACACATAGGAAGTATTAATCTCACCTGTAATGTGGCTAAGGTAGTGAAAGATGCATATGGAACAGCCAAGAGGCTGTGTGAATAGTATTAACTGGTAGATCCAGAGCTGGAAGCTGGAGAGTTCAATGCCAAAACTCCAGGTAGTTTATGTGCCCTCACATGCTATTCAAGAACTCAGAACAACAGTAGAACTACATGAAGAGTTATAGGAAATAGGGCTATCTGGCTGTTAAAACCCATGTTGCTTTGGGTAAAGAAGACTTATCCATTAGATAAGTGACCAAGGTGATGGTGTCTCACTAAAAAATAGCACCGTATTTATTTTAGTGTTTGAATGTTAATTTCTCTATACTAGTTGAACATTTTATGAAGCCAAAGTCATCAAGATGGTGCAGCACTGGTAAAAGATAGAGAGCCCAGAAATAGCAATTTAATAGAGAAAAAGTAGTTTGTACAACAATGGTGCTGGAATAATTGTATATCTATATCCCCCCCTAATTGACCTCAGTTCATATAATGTATAAAAATTAACTCAAGTTGAGTCATCAACCTAAATATAAAACCTAGAACTATAAACTTGGGTTAGGCAAAGATTTCTTAGCTATGATGCCAAAAGTACAATCCATAAAATTAAAAACTGATAAATTAGCCCTAGCTGGTTTAGCTCAGTGGTTAGAGTGTCTGCCCCTTAGACTGAAGGGTCCTGGGTTCGATTCTGGCCAGGGGCACATACCTCTGTTGCAGGCTCCACCCAAGTCAGGGTACGTGCGGGGAGGCAGCCAATCGATGTGTCTCTCTCACATTGATCTCTCTCTCTCCCTCTCTCTCTCTCTCTCTCTCCCTTCCACTCTCTCTAAAAAGCAATGGGGAAAAATATCCTTGGGCGAGGGTTAAAAAATAAATAAATAAAAACTGATAAATTAGACTTCACCAAAATTAAAAACCCTGATATTCAAGAGACATTCTTAAGAGATGAAAAATACAAGCCATAGACTGGCAGAAATATTGCAAATCATATATCTGACAAGAGACTCGTATCTAGAATATATAACGAACTTGAAAAATATTTGAATAGGTAACTCACCAAATGTCAAATAAGCACAAAAGCTAGGCTGCCACATAACATTTAACAGCAGATTCCACAGTAAAATAATATATTACATATTACAGCCTATAACATTTTAGGTTAATGATTCAGTTTCAATAAAATTGGTATACAAATTCCTCAATACTCTAATTTTCAAGTTCTAGAAAATAAGTTTACTTTAAAGAATAATACAAATGTTATATATGTCAGAATAATCTATAAAAGAATTATCAGATAAAATACAGAAACCTCAATTAGATTTGAATTTCAGATTAACCTCAAATAATTTTTAGTATGACCCAAATACTACATGAGACACATGGAATAGCAAACAATTCTGTAGTATAATAAATATTTTTATTTGCTAATAAGCTTGCCAATCCTGGTCCATGACTAAAATCATGAATTCCGATCACTCTTACCTCTATTTTTGGTAATGTTTTCTCTGGGAATAACAATCAGCCAGTAAACCCGATCACTGAACTGAAATAAAAAAGACATCAGAAAGCAGTGTTTTACAATATTAATAGCAACGCTTACTTTGGCATATTACATACTATCTTTTAAAAACAAAAATAAAACAAAAACATTCCATGCATATACCCTTTACTCAGTAATTTTATTCTTAGGAATTAATACTACATTATACTCATATGTGTGTGAAAAAAAATATGTTCAAGAATATTCTTTATCATTATTTGTAATAATAGGAGATTGTAAATAACTAAAATGTTCATCAGTTATGTAGACTATTATAGCCTCAAAGTGGAGTATTATACAGCCAAGCTCAGGTAGCCCAAAGCTAAAGCATTGCAGGCTTGATGTGTCAGAGGACAGAGCTTGGTGTTGACAGAGAATTTGGGAATTTAAGAGGAAAATTCCAGGAACAAAAGAACTGTAAGTGTGATCTAAGAGTTAAATATAAGCTCTTCCCCAAACCTTGGGCAACACAGTGCAGAGAAGACCCATAAAAGGCTATGTTTAAAAAAAAAAAATCAGCAGTGGAAACTAAAAGAACTGAGCAGAGGTATGAACTGCTGCAACCATAGGTAAGACAGTTTGCAGTTTGTGCCAAGGCAAATAATAGCCTTTTAGACCACCACCAACAAAAATGGCAAATTCTTAGAAGAACATAAAATAATCCAGAGTTGCTACAGCTTGTTATCTTCAATGTCCAATTTTCAACCAAAAGGACAAGACATTAAAAGAAACAGGAATGCACAACTGATACTCAGGGGGGAAAGGAGAAAATCAATTGACTCGGAGTGAGTCCAGATAGCAACTGAAGACGTCGAAGCAGCTATTACAAGTATGTACACAGATTTAAGGAAAATGTCCTAATGAAGGAAAGGATAGGGAATCCCAGCACATAAATTAAAAAATATATAGCAATAAAACCAAATGGAAAAATAAGGCTGAAAAAAAAAAAACTGGAAAAATATTTACTAGATGAATTCAATAGCAAATTAGAGATGGCAAAAGAAAGAATAGGTGGGTGAGTGTGTGTGTGTGTGTGTGTGTATACACACATATATATATATATATTTCAACTGAATATGTTTATATATATACATATATATGCATATATATACATATTCAGTTGAAATTACCCAATCTGGAAAAGGGAGAAATGACTAAAGAAAAATGAACAGAGACTTAGCTATCTGTGGGACAACATCACACGCTAAAAGGATATGGGACCAGATGGCAACTTGTATCTACAGAAAAGAATGAAGAGCAGCGGAAATAGTAAATATGTAGGTAAATAGTAAACAACCATATGTATTTTTTCTTTCCTCTCTTAATTTCTTTAAAAACATATATGATTGTTTAAAGCAAAAAGTATAGCACTATATTGTTGAGTTTAAAACATATATATGTAACATTACTGGACTAGCTATTTTTTAAAAAAACACATTCTATAAATAAAATAAAATGTAATTACCAAAGTTAAATTAAAGTGGAAGATTCCAGTATATGTGCTGTTTGTGACTACCATGCTGGGAGCAAGTCCTCCTGATGTGAACACGCTTAGAAATCCCTCTGAAGTAACCTCGCTGTCAGATTGGAAAAAACACTGGATTTTCTTTAGGAAAGAGGAAAAGTTAACAAACAAGTAATGACAATTCAGTGGAGAGAAGCATATTACATAATTTAAAAGTGAGAAGAAATCCATGAAAAGTAGATGCTGCTAAAGACTGCTGTCTGTAGTAATTCTAGTCTCTAGGAAAAGAGTCTCTTTTGAAAAATACCCTTTCAAAGCTCAGTCACCTACTATGCTAGTGTCATGGTAGGTTTTATTAATCTTTATCATAATCTTCTCTGTCACAGAAATGGTCATAAAATTATTATACTTAATAAACAGAATCAAAGCCATATGCTATCACATGTAAAAATCCCCATTTTATTAAAATCGTTATTTTGTGTCCCAATAAAAAAGAAACAAGTGTATAAAGCAAAGTTCATTTTACTGCATTTTATTGGATATTTCCCAGTTTTAAGAAGGGATATGAAAATGTAGCAATCACAAATGGTGATAGATACTAAGAATTTTAACTCATTTATTCCTCCCAGTAGTTTAGATCAGTTACCTAAGTTTCAGGAACCTCACTATAAAGTGGAGAAACATAGTCATTCTAAAAATATTTACTGAGCCCCTTCTGCAAATTAGGCAGTGCTATAGTGCTGGGAAAACAGAAAGGAACAAAACAAGCGAAAACCTCTGCCCTCTCGGAACTTACATTTTAACGGGGATTGGCAGGAAGATAAAGCCAAAGCCCCTTTCCTTCGCCTTGTCACGCTCCACAATTTATTGCCCTTTGTTAAGGTGGCACATAAGCCCCAAATTCTAACCATCCCTTTGAGGTACTTATCACTGAGCCTTCCCATGGGTAAACACAATGCCTGTATCAATAAACTCTATTTTTTCTCTCTCCTGTTAATCTGACTTTTGTCAGTTTATTTTACAGGCCGCAGCCAGTAAACCTAAGAGGGTAGGTTCAGTGCTTCTCTACGGTTCTTATCTTATGGAAGAGTAAATGTCATAATGAACCCCAAAACACTTTGAAAAATGTCTGACACACCTAAGCAGTTTATAAATGTTAGTTATTATTTCTACTAACACCACTTCTGGACCTACATCACGACTATCCAAGCAGTAGGTTGTCATTCCCCTTTAAAGGAGACAAAACTAAGGATCAGAGAGTTTAAGTACCCTGCCCCAGGGTGCACAGACCATACGTGGAAGGGACAAGATTTGACCCCAGCTCTGCAGTTCTTGCTTCTTCTAAAGCCCCTCTTTTCCTATAATATATAACCACAAATAGGAAAGGCGCTTTTTGACTCAAAGGGCATGTGCTTCACGATAATTGTAAGTAAATAAGAAACAGATCTATGTTTGGCATATCAAGAAGGAACTGGGAACTAAATCAAAGCAGACTTTGAGCTAAATATATTTGTCCTTGTGGGGTGTTTTCCTCTGTTTTTATTATATATATCATAGATTTTAAAACAATCTGTGCATTATTTATTAACTTACATTTTTGTTAGCATTTGCTGCACAGCTATCTTAATAGTACATCATACTTTATTTAGGGTGTGTGTGTGTGTGTGTGTGTGTGAAATCTGCCATTATTTGAATCGAAGGGATTAAATCATCCCTTATCCAAATGACAACTGCAGTACGGTACCTGTTATAAAGGGGAAAGATGATTTCTCAAGGTCAGTGGGACACCTTTCTTTGTCTACCAGGCTGCACCTGCCCAGCTTCAGAAGCACAAATCCCACCCATGAAAACGGAAGATCGTCACAGCTGATCTTTCAAGAAAGGGGAGAGGGAGGCATCTTAAAAGAAAGCAAAACCACCCAGGGCGTCCAGTGACTAAATGAAACTCTCTACCTCACCCGAGTGGAACGGGATAGAAAGGCGTATTATTTACACAGACTCTTACTTCCCAAAGTCTGAACACAGTAGAAGGGATTTGGTAAGTCCAGTGCTACTGGTTTTACACACGGAGTTCAAAGGAACGGGACAGGTTGCAAGGTGCTGCTAGCGGGCCTCACCAAGTCATCTGAGAAAAGATACAGCTTGATGATTTCATTCTCCCGGGGGAACCCTTGGCTAGAACAAGCAAAGCGTTTCTCCGTATCACCTAAACAGTAGAAATATATATGTTTTAGCTTACTGATAGGAGAATTTCCATTAAAAATCACATTTTTTAACTGAGAAAATATTTTAAAAATCGTAAGTATAACTGCATGCTTTAAGTTCATATACCTCTAAATAAAATTCAAATTTTCTACCATTTTTCATTTTAAAGATTCAAAGTCAGGACAGTAAAAGGGAAGGTATGGCTGAACACTAAAATGAAATATACCACATACTAGGCCACAGTGGAAGTTTTTCAGAGATGGCAAAAAAACAGTCCTTGACTCTTAAGCTCCTCAACCTTGGTGAGCCTAGAAAAGGGACAGGAGTTGGAGACTGGAAAGAAAATCTATGTTTTAGTAGAGAGCTATTCATATGAAGGTGACTCCTCTCCCAAAAAGTGGGGGTGGGTGAGAGGAAGAGCCCTTCCCCTTCTCTGGATCAAAAGTAAATTTCTTGTATACGGCATAGAGTTGGATCTTGTGGGTTTCTATTCATATTGCCAATCTCTGTCTTTTGATTGAAGAGTTTAATCCACTGACATTTGAAGCAACTACTGATAGAGACTTTTGTCATTTTGCTATTAGTTTTCTATATGCCTTATAACATTTTACCTCATTTCCTGCATTATTGTCCTTTTTTATATTGAGTTGATTTTTTGTAGTGACCATTTAACTTCCTTTCAAATTTCCTTTGTATATGTTCTATAGCTATTTTCTTTGTGGTTTCCATGGGGATTACATTTAACATCCTAAAGGTAAGTACTCTAATTTGAATATATAGCAGCTTTGCTTCAATAACATACAAAAACTATTCCTTTACAGTTCTACCTCCACCCTTTCAGTTGTTGATGTCACAAAATTACTTCTTTATACATTGTGTGCCCTAAAACATAAACTAATAATTTAAAAAAATGCTTTAATCTCTTAAATTATGTAGGAAACAGGATCTGGAGTTACAACCAAAGTTATAATAATCCTAGCTTTTACACCAATAATGAAAAAAAACCCATTAATTTCTTAAATCATGTTAAAAAAAAGTAGAGTTACTATTCATCGTTATAATAGTAACTAGCTTTTTATAATTTCCCATGTATTTGCCTTTATTGAGATCTTTATTTCTCCACATGGCACCAAGTTACTGTCTAGTGCCCTTACATTTCACCCTGTAGGACATCCTGGAGAATTTCTTGCAGGGCAAATCTAATGGTAACAAACTCCCTCAGTTTTTGTTTATCTGAGAATATCTTAATTCCTCCCTCATTCTTGAAGGGCATCTTTCCCAGATATAAAACTTTAGGTTGACAGGTTTTCTCTTATAGCATTTTGAACATATTGGCCCTCAGCCTTCTGGCCCCCAAAGTTTCTAATGAAAAACCTGTTATTATCTTACTGAGAATCCTTTGTATTTAATGATTTGTTCTCTCTTGCTGCTTTCAAGATTCTCTGTCTTTGGTGGGTGTCTGCAAGTTCATTTTACTTGGAGTTTGTTGAGCTTCCTGAATATTTATGTTCATGCCTTTCATCAAATTTGGGAAGTTTTCAGCAATTATTTCTTTAAATATTCTCTCTTCCCCTTTCTCTCTCTCTTCTCCTTATGTTATTCCCATAATGTGTGTATGTTGGTCCATTTGATGGTGTTCACAGGTCCCTTACTCCTTTGGCTTTTCTTCAATCATTTTTCTTTCTGTTTCTCATCCTCAATAATTTCCTTTCTCCTATCTTAAAATTCACTGATTCCTTATTCTACATGCTAAAAATTGCCTTTGAATCTCTTTAGTGAATTTTTAATTTTAGTTATTCTACTTTTCAGCTCGCGCATTTCTCTTTGGATTCTTTTTAGGTTTTCTATCTCTTTATAATATTGCTATTTTGCTCATACATTGTTTTGTTGACCTTCTTCACATCTTTCTTTGGTTTCTTTGAAAATAATTTCATCCAGAGGGAGAGATTCTGGCAACAACAGGGGCGGGGGTGGAAGAGTGGGTAACAACATGGCTGCCTGCCTCTTTGTCTGCACCTCTGTGATCAGAAGCAGCAATCCCAATATTTGTAAGACAGAGTCCTTTTTGCCCACACTAGCTTCTGCAAGCTGTATGCAACTGCTCTAGAAACACGAGCACAGCTGCCTACCATGGATGTGTGTATGTGGGAGGAGGGGGCGTGTAGGTAGCTTCTACTGTGATGAGTTGATAATTACTAAAATTAACTACAATTTACTATCCAAGCCTTCTCCTAGAAGTAACAAGCCTTCAGTAGATTTCAGGGTCCCAAAATAGTTACATCAGACAGATTCTGCCAGTGCAATTATTGTCTAGGTGAGGAGACAGATTCCTGGTGCTTCCTACTCTGCTATCTTTTCAGAATCCTCTATTCCTTCTCTTTATCTTGAGTCCAAAAAAGAGGCTTTGATGGGACCATTCACAATATAACATGTATTCCTTTAATTTTGGGTATAAACTCAGATTCTTGCTTGGAAAAAGACAAGAAATGATTTGGTAGAGAGGATGGGGTATGGTTTTATGGGAAGGAGGTGAGAGTCCTGCACAACCCACATTTTCTGGGGCAAAAGTAGCATGAATGCTTCCTGTGGGCTACTTATGAGAAATAACTAGCATTAGGTCATCAAGGGTCCAAGGTCTCTCTGGGTGGCAACTGGGTCTTAGCAGAAAGAATGTGAAGGGACAGCTGGATATTCAGGAGCAGGCAAAGGAATTGATGATCAGTCAAAACAGAGAAGCTTTAGCCCTTGTTAGAACTATAGATAAGACATTCCCAGTAATTTAATGGAAGGAAGGGAGCTCTGAAGGACCTGGGCAAGTGCCCAGAGGTTGAGGGTCAATGTTATACACCTACTGGATCCAGAGAGGGCTGACTGATGTCAGATGGTCACCTTAGAATCTGTTAGGTAAACACTGCCACTCTGCCTCCCTTCCCTGCCTTCTCCCTATCTGCCGACAACCCTGCAGCAGGAAGGGTCAAAACTCAAAGTTAGCAAGTTGGTGAGAAGGAACCTAAACTCCAGGTAGAGAAAAGGGAAAGTGACATTAACCTTCTTCCCTAACTACAGGCTTCCCACCCGAACAGACCCAATCAGGAAAAATGGAAGAAGCTTCTATTATATAACAAGAGCTCAGTTATGATTGTTACAAGGCTTGGGCAATTACAATGCAAAGCTGTGTTTTAGAGTTTGAAATCGCTGGAAAAACTGTTCAAATCACCTCATTGTAACCAGAAAAATTCATAGTGCCCGCCCAAATATCCATCCAAGGACACAGGAGGAACTAGCCCCAGGAGTGGGAGGTGAAAATAAGTTTCCTTTGTGAGCGACTGCACGTTATTTATTGTACAACACAACAGTTTCAATGCTATTCTGAAAACCCCATAAGAAACCATAGTAATGCAAGTTTCACAAATATGGCTTAAAGTACATTTTGAAGTTACAACGTTAAACAGTTTTCAAGGTCATCCCACACATTTACTTTGCTCCCACCTGACAATGTTGCCAGATCTATTTTTTAAAGCTATGATTTGATTCTAAAGTCCAAATCACTTCTCTGCTTAAAAAGTCTTTACCCACACTCCATCGCCAAATGAATCAACGCCTTAAAGGGAGAGAAGCCAAACAGAAGGAAATGAACGCCTTTGAGTGACAAGCCTACTTTGAGCCAGACTGTGGGTTCACAGGTTACCTTGTGCCATATGTATTGTCTTCTCTTTAAAGAAGATCTAACAAAGACTCAGGAAGATTAAGGTATTGCTCAAAGATTGCCCAACTCACAGAGGAGGTCAGAGGGGATCCAAGATATTTCTGTGTCTAAGGGCCATTCTCTCTCTATCTTGTTAGGCAATGTCAAACTACCAAGCCCTCTTTCAAACTCCCCTGCACATACCTATACTCCAGCACTCCTGAAGTGAAGTGCTCATGGGGTTCTCTCTATTTCCAAATTCTGGCTTAAATTTTAACACATTTTAAGATCCAGTTCAAACAGTATTTTTGATCCACCATTGGGAATCTGCAGATGCGGGGTGTGTGGCCAACTGTATGCATTCTATGCCATTTCAAAGAAGGGACTTGCGCACCTGGGAATTTTGGTATCCACGAGGGGTTCTGGAACCAATCCCCTGCAAGTACCTAGGGATCTTGTAGTTAAATTTGGGGGGAGTCAAAAGTTAGACACAGATTTTCAACTATGCAGGGGGTCAGTGCCTCTAACCACCAAATTGTTCAAGGATCACTGTATTTCAGAAGATTTTCTCAATCTCAACCTACTAGAATTATAATTCAGTTTATAATTCATACTACAAGCAACTATTCATGGAGAGAAAATAAAAAAAAATATCTTCAAATAAAGTTTTGCAAGTATACAATGCTCCTTAAATTGTAAAGTCTATGACTTCTAAGTAAAGAAATACTATAACAAAATTCCCTATGTACACAGCTTAATAATAGATTCACAGTGATATGATTAGAAACCTCTGAACCAGAGTACAATAGAGAATACTTCTGAACATTGGAAGACATGGTAATAAGCAGTACTAAAAGAAAAATATTTTAACTGTTAGCAAGGAAGGGATATAAAGGGGAACTCCTGAGAAGAAAATAGAGTTAAGAGTCTGAAACTTACCTTTAATATTATACATTATTCCTGATGAAAAATCAAATATGTTCAAAAGTAAAATTATAACACATAAAAGTAGCAATTCCATCTGTTGGAAGAAATAAGAATTATCTCCATTTACTAACTCTGAACATATTTTTGAGTTCCTTTGCTATAAACAACTACATAGTTAAGAAACATCTCTTTCTTTAAGTTAAAAATATTTCTCATTATTTTGACAAAAGCAGATACCACAGTAGTTGACTAAACTCTATATTTACTCCCTAACTGGTATTAAAAATATTCATAAATATAATTATTGCAAACTAAAGAAGTATGGCTCAGGTTTTTCTTCAATGTAGATAACTTCTGGAGAGGTGTGATCAGTTCTATAGCTGCATAAAAACAGAACCCGACTTAAAAAAGGCTCTGAGGACAGTACAGCTGCACCTAAATCTGAATATTGACTGCAGTGTTTTTGGGAAAGACAATCCATGTGGATCCTGAGCATCCCTGCACATTCTTGCTGTGCACCAAAAATGCAAGGCCCTGACCACCCTTTACCCAGGCCTTTTCTGAGTTGTGTTTGCATTGCGAAGCCTCGAGGGATGACGTCGTCTTCCTTGGACAAGAGCAGGCTTGTTTCCATGGTGACCCTCCCAAGTTCAGTGTTCCTCTCCTCTAATGCACCCGCTATGTGTGTCAGCAAGCACCTGTCATGGGCTGAACTGTGCCTTTCAACAATTCATACTGAAGTCCTAAACCCTAGTGCCTGAGAATGGGGTTGTATTTGGAGAAAGGGTCATTATAGATGTGAATTAAGTTTAAATAAGGAGATTAGGGTGGGCCCTAATCCAATATGAGTGGGGTCCTTATAAGAAGGGGAAATTTGGACACCCACTGGGACACTGGGAAGATGATGTGAAGACACACGGAGAAGGAAGCCACCGACAAGCCAAGAAGAGAGGCCTAGACAGATCCTTCCTTCACGTCCCTCAGAAGGAACCGGCCCTTCCAACGCTTTGGTCTCAGACTTGGAGCCTCCAGAACTGTGAGACAATAGGTTTCTGTTGTTGAAGCCCACCTAGCCTGTAGTATTTTGCTTAGTGACCCTGGTAAATTAATGCAGCATCTATAATATCTGTCTAGCCCATGAGCCTCGGGGCATGGGGAACTGGAGTGAGCACCAGCTGATACCTGCCTCCTGCTTTTGCTGTGAGTGATAAAGACCTTGTCTCTGACAGAAGGGTCTTCTGTCTTTTGCCAGCATCCAAGTAACAGTAACAAACTGACTTACCAGCTGCAGGGAGAATAAAATCTAGATCTGGTGCAGCTCCTGACAACAGCTGAACAAATTAAACTTGATGTGTTTTTTTCCTCCCTCAAAATTGGTGTGCTTGATTCAGTACATTTAATTGACAATAAAAGCTCAAACGTTTGTTGGATTTTTAAATTCATGATCCTTATCGCATAGTTAGGGGAGAATTTTTTATTGAATTTATTGGGGTGACATTGGTTAATAAAATTATATAGGCTTCAGGTGTACAATTCTATAACACATCATCTGTATATTGTATTGTATGCTCACCACCCCAAGTCCCCAAGTCAAACCTCCTTCCATCACCCTTTCTCCCCCCAGGGGAGAATTTTTTTTTTTAGTTCATTTTTTAGACACCTAAGAAAACAACTTATTTTTCACAAGGTAAGAGGAAGTAAATGGCTCATCAGAATTGTATCAGCATGGTGCTATGCTTAATTATATTTTGGTTGTAAGAATAAATTTAACATTAAATGGGAGAGGTTACCACAGTTAAACTTTGAAAACAGTGCCCTTACCAAGACAATCTTGTATTATTTTGCTAAGCATTCAAGTTCAGTGATACAACACCATTAGAACCCATCAGTATTCCTCATGCCTGGAAAACTGACTGAAATGCATTATGCTCCAGGGCCCCAGTGTGGATGACCTATCATTAAGTTATCCTCAAAGTTCCTCTCAAACACTTATAAAGAGATCCCTCATTTCATTTGCATGGGTTTGGTTGTATCTTTTTTTGGTGAAAGAACTAAAAACTTACTTTGAAAGGTTTTTTTAACGCTTTCATTAAGGAAAGGAAACCTGAAAGGACATAATTCAGAGATGACAAAGGCGCAATCTTTGGGGTGTTTATGGCTTTGCTACCAGCTTCACGTCCCCTTATTTTAGCAATTCAGCATATGTGTGCGTGTGTGTGTATGGCCTATATATATGTATATAGGCTGATATATATATATTTATATTTAACTTAGAGATGGAGTGTACTTTAGAGTTGATATGAGGCATGAAGTAACATGTTCAAAGTCTGTTACTAGCTAGCGACAAAGTGGGCTCAGAACCAACCTCTCCAGATTCAACAGATCTAGTCAGCATACAAAGAGCCACAAAATAAAAATTTTAAAAAGCGAAGATACAAAGCACCGCTAAGTTTGCCCCCACTACTTCTGCTCCTTACATACATTCGTCTCCCTCTTCAGTATTACAGCTCTTTCAGTCTGGCGCCCTTCTTCCACTAATCATCTCGCGGTAAAGGAAAGGCACAGACTCTGGCCTAAGATCAGCTCTGCCCATGGAGATGTTGGATCTTTGCAAAGTTGCTTCACTTCTACAAACTCGTATTCTAATCCGTAAAATAGGGTAACGCTTCACAGGGTTGTTGTGAGAATTACATAAATAATATATCTAAAACATCTCACGGCTACTTTACACTGAGTAAGCACTTAATCAACACTAGCCCAGAATCCAGATCTGTTTACACTGAATCAACTTCCTAATTGACACACTCCCCTACTTGCCCTCTTAGCAGTTACATTACTCCCCGTTATCACTTCCATTTAATTATTTAAAATTTCGCATAACTGTCAGATATAAGCCACATATCTGGGCATTTTTTCTTCTCTGGCAACAAGTAAATATTGGGAATGGCCCCCAAAGAAGGAACCTACTCCTCCACCAGCAGGTTCATCTGCAGTTACTCCACGGCCATGAAATACATTATAAATTCCTACTACATTGGGGTCCTTATTTCTTACTGTAATTCCCTCCTAATGGGATGCCAGACTGGTTGCACTTTGATTTTTGTGTGTTTTCCCAGGCTTTCTTCCACGTAAGCTGAGAAAGGAGACCGAAAAAACCAAGTTTTCGGTTTACTGGTCTAGTCTTCCGCTTCACGTCGGGAACAGCCAATCAGCTGCTCCCCTGCACGGAAGCCAGCTCAGAAGCCTAAAGGCCAGGCAGTTGGAATTTTCAACTAACTGCCTCTTTCAGGGGACCAAAGGCCATTTTCTTTAAAAATGTGTAAGAGGTGGAGTTTCTCAAAACCAACCACCTTTAATACAACATCCATCTAGGAAGGTTCAGAAACCTGAGACTAGGCAGAAAATGCTTCAGTCACCACGGGATTACTGAGTGCCTGGGAAAAACATAACTGTTAAAAGATCATGCCAACTACATGCAACGGGGTTTTGGAGATGACGGCATCAGAGAGTGCTTTGTAACTGTGCCTTGTAGGAAGAATGGGGCTTAAATAGAGATCTAACTGAGAGTTAGCAAGATAAGTAATACACGAAGCGCAAAGACAGGAATGAGCTGTGTGTGCATGGGGATCAGCAGGACCGACGAAAGGCCGATCTGTTGTCCTGATTCATTGTGGGAACGTCCTTTGTGGGGTTGACTATACCCACTCAGGCTGCCTTTGACTAGGGAGCCGAGACTAAACCTTTCTAACTCAGTACCCTGACTAGTCATGAATGGTCACAGAGGCTAACATATGAAGTGTTTAAATGATGATAAGAAAACCTGATTCACACTCATGCTCTCCTTCAGGGGTCCTCACGTGGCCACGCAGAACCTGCTTTGCGCTCAGGTCATGAAAGCAGCTGGTATCTGGGTGAATCTATTCCTGGAAGAGCCTGTGCAAGAAATACCTTTCTCTTACCTGCTCTGGTGACCTTGACCCAAAGAAGAAAGTCACTCCTCACTCTGAAATAAGGTGCCAGACTCAACAAAATCTCTCTCCTAATAAAGGCTCATTTCCTAGAGACCTGGGGTTCCCACTAGAGAAGGCGACCAAGCTTACAGAAGCAAGCTGTAGTTTCCCATCTCTGTAGCAACACCGTGCAAAGGTGTTTCCCTAAACAGCGTCACAATAGACACGCCTGCACAATGTCGAAGGGACACATTGATGGCCTACACGCTATCTGACTGATACAACCAGGAATCGAAAATTTATATCCCATGCTCATCCTTAGGAAGTTACTTGAAGGTGGTCTCAAGCTAAAGGGAAGACATGGGGTCCAGAAGGGACGGTGCAAGGTGAGTCCTGGGATGCGACGTGGGCAGCAAGGCTGGAGAGCAAGCAGCCGATTGGAACAGGGTAAAATCAGAAAGAAAGAAACCCCCTGCAGTGTAAAGTATGATTGAGAAGACAGAAAATCTTGTCTTGTCAGGAAGAAAAAACGGAGGGGATAAGAAACTAGGATAAACAAAATGTTCTCTAATGAAGTAATGGTCCATCTTTTACTTTACTTTTCTGGTTTACTTTTTTTTTTTTTAATAAGACTATCTTTTTTTAAAATGTTTTTTTATTGATTTTAGAGAGAGAGGAAGGGAGAGAGAAATATTCAGCTGCCTCCTGCACGGCCCCTATTTTCATTGGCCCGCAGCCTGGGCATGTGCCCAGACCAGGAATCGAACCGGTGACCTTTTGGTGCATGGGGATCCTCCTGCTGGCTGTGAGAAAGCAAATAGTCCTGCTGGGGACTGCCTGTGGAGAGGGCCATGCAGCAGGGAAATGCAGGCAGCCAACGGGAACTGAAGGTGGCCTCCAGCTAGTAAGAAGCCAGGGCCCTCCATTATACAGTGACAAAGACATCAATCCTGCCAACGAAATCAATCCTGCCAACGACCTGAGCTTAGAAGTAATTTCTCCCCCAGCCGAGCCTCCAGGTGAAAAACCAGCCCGGCCAACACCCTGACTGCAGCCCTGTGGGATTCTGAACAGAGAACCAGGAGCCCGGGTTCCTATCCCGCAGAAACGGCAGGGTAATAAATGCGTATTGTTTTAGGCCCCAGAGTTTGTGGTATTTGTTACACGGCAATGGAGAACTAGTACAGATCACAATGATTTCAGTGAACGGCAAACAGTGACTGTCACCCGGCCACTCTGGCCTCTCGTGACTCCAAACCAACATGTGAAGAA